TTTAATTGGATAATCCAAATAATAGTGGGTTATAGATACGGCATCTAGTGTAGTACTTAGTATAACTACTTAATTAGATGCTCAAAAGGCGTAGATATGGCTAGAATGTATCCTCGTCAGAATGTACTTGTCTGGGGCCCTCTAGAAAGGGCACCACATAATTCTATAATCTAATAAAAGCGACGAGCCAAAGAGGCTAACCTTGACTACAAAAAAAAAAAATAAATAAATAAAATTATAAACAGATTTAAATTATATAAAAATACATACAGTATGTCCAAAACTAAATGTGGCGCAGTTTTTTGTCCAATTTCTAAACCATATAAATAGGTTACCCGAGTAAATTGATCTGGATCTGCATTAGCCAATCAGACGAATTTCTGCCTATGAACGTACAGTACATACGTATACTCATTTGGTTCAGAGCTCTAGGGACCGAAAATTTTCAAAACGAATTTTCTTTATAAGAATGTCGGCACCACCAAGTGCAACGGTATATGGTGCACCACCTACCTTCGGAAACCCCCAGTCAGGAATATCAAACATTTCCAAACAGCCAATGTGCACCACGCCGAATAATACTATTTACATCAACAATCTTAACGAAAAAATAAAACTGCCAGGTAATACGAGTTGTTGATTTCCTTTAGATTTGACAAATATACTTAGATTTATTTTATCAGCCTTGAAGAATGCTCTAAAAGCCATTTTTGAACAGTATGGAGAAATTTTAGACATTTCAGTGCGTAATACTTTGAGAATGCGTGGTCAAGCGTTCGTAGTTTTCAAAGAACAAGAAAGTGCCGTTAATGCTGTTAAGGGAGTTCAAGGGTTTGCATTGCATGGGAAGCCAATGGTGAGTGTTAAGCTCAGCTCTTAGCCAATCGATTATTTTCATATAACCTTTTGTTATGCACGAAGGTTATACAATTTGCAAGAACCAAGTCAGATGTAATCGCAATGCTGGATGGAACTATCGAGGAACATAAAAGATTAAGATTAGAAGCGAAGGGTATCTATTAAATTTATATATAATGCAGTGAAAAGCGAAACATAATAATAATTTCCGTCATCTTTTAGAAAAACGTGCTAAAGAACCTCCTGTAAAAAAATTCAAGCCAAGTAATGTATCACAATTTCAATTGGGACCATCAAATGTTCCTGGTGGTAAGTTTCGTTATTCTATTCTATAGTTACGCAATACTCACTTTTTTTCTTTACTTATTTATTATATTTATTATATATCAGCATCAATGTATCATTTTGGACATCAAGTTCCTGCGACTGGGAATATTCCAGACGAATATCTTCCACCCAATAATATTCTATTTCTTCAAAATTTACCGGGTGATATAACAGGAGCTGCCCTTACTGCTTTATTTGAACAGTACGTTATATTCTACGTTTAATAAACTACCATTAATTAGTTCTTGCTTACATATATTATACTTTATATATGTATTAGATATCCTGGGTTCAAAGAAGTCCGTTCAATTCATCCAGCTAAGGGTATAGCATTCGTAGAATATGATAGCGAACCTCAGGCCATGATTGCAAAGGAAGCTTTAACCAATCATCCTATAAGTCCTGATAACAAGCTCAAGATTACATATGCAAAAAAATAAATCTAAATGGATAGTACATGCCCTCTGTCTATTTAAAATTATTTGGTAGAAATCAAATTTACATGTGACTATGTATGCTTGCGTGAAATTGTTGAACATATTGGTTTATAAGGTACGTCGAAATATATTTAAATTCTGATAAATTGATTACTAATGATTTGTCTAAGATGCCAACGGTTCTGCGCACGTATTTCAATGCTCACACCTTTATAACGGGTGCTGGAAATTTTATTTGGTTGTTTGTTGATCATAATTTAGTAACCATATTTTATATTCATATCAATCTAATTTATGGGTAAAGTACTTCAACATTTGGTAAGCTATTTTATCTTATATCACAAATAATCAATTTAATGATTTCGTAGTCGATTATTTATTATCAAATTTATAAGATAAATAATGAATTGTATAAGTAGCGAATCCTTTATAATATCATAAAACCCGAAATAACGGGCATAGGCGTTATTTCGAAAACCGAATCCTTTAAAAATAGCTTATTTAATTTCAAAATAACACTCATAAGTGTCTCGAAATAACGCGCACCTTATATAATATGTTGTGGATTTATATATAGTAATAAAAAGGCTTAGTAACGCATTCGAAAGTGATCAAGACAATACGCAGATGCCCATTATTTTGAGTTTCACTGCATGCTTCTTGGTGCTATCATGAAAAAAAAAGCCTAGTAAACTGATTAAATCTGATTACAATAAATAACTATAAATTATTTAATGCATTTTTAACGATCATCCCATTAGGGTGGGGCATAGGGTTCTTGGGCATGTCTTCAAGTTAAAAGGAATACTTTTTTATTTGATATTTAAAAAACATATTACAGCCAGGGATTTTATCAAAAATGAAAATCGACTCTGGAACGTTTTATAGAAAATCTTTAAACGCTGATTGGTCTATAATCACACTTAGCTAAAGCTTTTTTACGGATGGCGCAGCCACGTGACTTCAGTCAATCAGCGAAAATCAAAACAATCGAATATAGCAAGAGATTTAAAGTAATAAACCTATTGTTAGGGTTAGTGCTATGGTCTGGACAAAGCATTTCTTATAAGCAATATTATATATTAATTGTTCGGAGCGAAGCGGAGGACTCTGTTTTGAGTAAGTCTACGGACACCTACCAGATCATGTGAACACCTACCAAATCGGGCAATTTTTGTACCTACTAAACCTATCACGTGCTAATATACCTACCCTACTAGGGTTCCTCATTTTCTGCTGCGACAGACCCCAAATTCTGCCTGCTTTACAGATTGATTTATGCGAATTATGCGCCAAACTTTTCTGCAATTTATGCGAATCAGGTTGAAGTATGCGGAATATGAGAAAATATGTGACAACTTCATATACATAGCAAAATTTCGGAATACAAATAAAATAAGCTTCAACTTTATTTTTTAACAGACATTGATACCTCAATTTTTAAATCTTAAACGATTTGTCAAATAAATATATAAAATAAAAAGTAAAACTATAAAAAATAATCGCATATATGTATTGTTATTTTTTTTGAAAAAATAAAAGATAAAAAAATAAATGCCATCGAATTCTAAAAAAAAAAAAAACAAATTTTTCGCTTAGTTATTAATGTATATAATCGTTAACATTCTTGTTTTCACTTACCCGTTCTTAAATTATTCTTCCATATTGCTATTAAAATACATAAAGTTAAGTGCTGCAATGGATGATTCGGAAAGTAAATGCCGATTATCATCAAGAATGTTTTTATATATAGAAAAACTTCGTTCTACATCTACGCCTGATACTGGAAGCCAAATGTAGTCTAAAGCTAGTTTCGATAAATTAGGTAAGCTTCGGATTTTTTCTTTCCAATAAAGATCTAGGTCAAAGTTTTCAGCATTAAAAAAATCCTCGGTTAATCCGCAGTAAATACCCCATTCTTGGATAATTTGATTATTTGAGGATTTAAATTCAGGAATTTCTGAATATAAAGAAATATTTTGACGATTTTGCTGGATATGAATGTACCGCGGATCAAAGCACTGAATGGTTTTAAATAAGGGCAATGCGGGATGTTGATCGATATGTTTTTTGAACTTGTTAAATGCCAGTTGATATGCTTCACGAAATATTTTAATATATGATTCCATCTCAAAATGGTTATCTTCAAATTTGGATTTTATTTCATCACTAATAGGAGGTTCGATAATGCCTGATTGTAATGAAGCTTTAAGGTGTGCTAAACGTTGTGTTACGAATGGTGCAATAGGCTTATTTCGAGTTTCGAAAAATTCAAGGTCCTCTACAAGGTTATATAAATAAAATAAAGTTAGATTAATTTTTTATAAACAAAGTAATAATACTCATCGTAATGCATTACAAGATATAAACATGGTTAAGACTTCAAAAATAAAAACATTTGTGTTATTGTTAAAAATAGCCGCCAATTCCTGAATTGCTTGACTTTCACTATTAACCTGTTCTTCCTCAATATCAAATAATTGTAATTGGTTAATATTTTGATCTATCCAAATAAATCTAAACCAGAAATTCCACCGGGTTTTAACTGGTAATGGTGGTAAATTAATTTTTTTTTTTTTTTTTATATATTGGCAGCCTCGCTGGTATCTTTATTAGATCAAAGCATATATATATACATACATTTCAACTATCTAAATTATAGATCCGACATTCCCCGGCTACCTCTATGGGCACCCAAGGACGGTCTGCCTCACCGGTTAAGGCTAATGCCCGTACCGGAGGGCTGCACCAAGCTAGCCGATGAAACCATAGCAAGATGGTTTCAATTCAAAGAGATTTTTAACTAAACTGAATT